TACTTTTTTCTTTCAGTTTTGACAATGTGTGTGTATTTGTAAACTGTGGCTCTTTTGTGTAAAATAAATAAAAATCTTCATAATTAAAGAAATCTACTTTCAAAGTACACTGTTACGACTTTTTAACTATTTTTTTTATAACAGGGGTCATTATGGTTCCCCATGTATGTAGAGAATTTTTGAAGTGTTACAATGTTGTCTTAAAAAAAGACTCAATTTTAACCAATTATAACAAAGGAGTTTCGAAGCACATTGGTATAAATTGTAACATTTTATAAAAAACAATAAAATGGTTTCCTATGTACGTAGAATTTTTAAATTGTTACAATGTATGTAGGTTCTGTTGTTTCTATTTGATAAAAAAATCAATTTTTGACCATTATAGCAATGTACTTTTAACACTAAATAAAAAACCACATATTGGTTTCCCATGTATCCAATAATAATTTTAGCAATGTAGTTTCAAAGTACATTGCTATAATTGGAAAAACTTCATAAAAAATGGGACCATTTGTCAATATATAGTTAAACATTCACCATTTATGTAATTATAATAAAACAATGACCACCTGTGTACATATGTGAGTTTGTGTTGAGTTGACAAGGGACTATGTAATTTTTTTTAATAATATACCTGGATTCATGTAGAACAATAATAATATACCTAGATTCATGTAGAACGATATCCCTAGCCTTTGTAATCCATATTTTTTTAAAGTTTTATTCTCATTTTCCCAACACATAATAAATGTGTTAAATGTGAAGAATACTTCTGTCTATTCATCTGTGAGATCACCACCTGTGTATAGTAAAAAAAAAACTAAGCAACCATATATCTTTTTCTTTTGAACAAATTACTGAAATAGTCCCTGTGGTTTGGCTAAAGTTGCGCGTTTGGTCCCTATGTTTTGTTTTGCACTCGGACCATCCCCACGTTTTCTTTTTATTACCCGCCTGGTCCCTGGGTCCGTTAGTCGTCAATTCCAAACGTTAAGTCCCTCACGTGCTTCGCACATGAGGGGTATTTTCGTCATTTTATACATGGCGCCTAAATGCAATGCCAATCGTTTCTTCATTCCGATCATTTTACGATCACCTCCCTCTCACACACACTCTCTCTCTCTCTCACTTAATCTGTAACTCATCAAAATCGAGTAGAAACCCTAACTCCTCAAAATTTTGCAAGAATCATCGAAGCAACAATGGTGGGTTGGAGGATTAGAGCAAACATGGAAGAAATAGACGTTGAAAACCATTACGGTAACCCCTTAATTTCAAAAGTTAAATTTATCACTTAAAAATTTCAAGCTAATAAGTTGAAGCTTTCTCTTTTACAGCTGGTCATCCAACTATCTTCTCCATCAGATTATTCTATGGTGGAGAGTTTACGAAGTTTCCTGGAAGGAGGTACGTCAAGGGCAAAGAAAGATACGTTGATCTATTGGACATTGATGAGTTTTGTGTGCACGATATTGATGAGATGATGGAGACCCTAGGCTGTGTTGAGGAGGGTAAGTTGCTTTATTACCACTTCAAAAGACCCTTTTCAGATTTGGACTTTGGGTTGTTTGCATTGGCTAGTGACAGTGACATTAACCATTTGGGTACATACGTGGGTCAACATAAACTGATTGAAGTTTATGTTGAACATGGTAAAACAATGTTGCATACATATACAATGTCATCTACCCCTAGTAAAGTTAGGATAGAAGAAATCGTTGATCAACCTTCGTGTAGTAGAAGGCTTTTTTTGGAATGGAAGGAAACTGAAACAGGGGATTGTATTGGATCAAGTAAACCAAATGTTGTGCCAACAAAAGAAACTGAAAGTGCCCAAATTGATGCCCAATGTGAAACACAAGGTATATGTGATGAATTTGATGAATTTCTAAATGAAGAAACTGGAGGGATTACTCATGAAAGTGACAATAGAGATGATGCTGATGATAGTGGTGATAGTGGTGATAGTGATGATAGTGAGTTCTTAGTAGACTTAGATAACCTCCTAGATGAACCTGAGATAGACATGAATGAGTTTTTGTTAAATATTGATGAAGATATAGAGTGGGTGGGTGATCTTGGAGGGTCAAATGTCAAGGAAACAGAAACAAGGGAAATTGATGATATTGAGGTTGTAAACAATGAGGTATTCTTATATGAGTCATCATCTGATGAAGGTGGGAGCAACAAGAGAAGAAAGTCAATTAAGGCAATCCGAAGGGCAATGGAAAACAGTGAAGCAAGAGTTAGTGATCCATTCTATGTGTACCAAAAATTCACCTCATTTGAAGAATTGAAAAATGCAATAAGACAACATGCTATGGAGACAAGGAGGGAACTAGACTTCATAAAAAATGACAAAAACAGAGTGAGAGCTATTTGTAAAGGTACTATCCCAAACCTTGGTCAACTTGACCCATGTGGGCCCAGTCAAAGCAATAAAGAAAGTGAAGAAAACAACTGTCCATGGGTACTTTATGCTAGCAAGTGGGAACAAGATGTTGACTGGGAGATCAAGACCTACGAAAAAGAGCATAGATGTCTACAAACAAGAAATGTGAAAGCTTGTACCTACAAGTTCTTGGCAAAGAAAATTGTGCAACAGATTGAAAGCAACCCTACAGTCCCTACACGAGCTTTACAAGAACAACTTCAACGTGAATACCAGGTAGATATTTCGAAGATGAAGGTATTTAGGGATAAAACAGAAGCATTGAATCAAGTAAGGAGCGATTATGCAAGGCAATATACTACACTACGAGACTATGTTCAAGAACTTCGCACTCGAAACCCATGGACAACAGTTAAGATAGAGGTCGAAAGTGAGCCAAACCCATCTTCTGAGACTAGAACTTTCAAACGGATCTACATCTGTCTAGGGCCATTAAAGAAAGGTTTTCTAGCTGGTAAAAGAGATTATCTTGGTTTGGATGGGACTTTTATGAAAGGGCCTTATCCTGGAATGATACTCACAACAGTGGTAAGATGTAAACACATATCTTGTGTCATTTTATTCCATTTTATTTAAATTACTAACTCCTTCACTATGTTTAGGGTCTTGATGGAAATAACTGTACATATCCTTTGGCATATGCTGTCGTGGAGGCTGAGAATATAAATTCATGGACTTGGTTCTTAAGGTGCTTGGGTAATGACATTGATTTGCAAGCTAATTCCAACTTTACCTTTATATCTGACAGACAGAAGGTAAGTAATTTCAATGGACTTGGTTCTTATTGTACAATGTATACATTACATCTAATGTTGTTTACTTTTTGTACAGGGCTTGTTGCAAGCAATTGGTACATTGTATCCATGTGCAGAACACAGGTTTTGTCTGCGACACATTCATGAAAACATGAAGAAAATGTGGAGGGGAAAGGTGTTCCAAGACATGTTGTGGAACTGTGCAAGTACAACAACAATACAAGAATTCAACCATGCTATGGAAGAGTTAAGAAAGCTAAACAATGACTGCTACGAATGGGTCAAAGCTATTCCACCTCAACATTGGTCTAGGGCACACTTTACAGGTTTGTTTTATTTTGTTGGGTTAATTGTTACCAAATGATTCACTTTCTTACATAATTTTTTATTTATATTGTAGGGAGGGCTCATTGTGATGGGCTTCTGAATAACTTGTGTGAGACCATAAATAATCAAATTAAGAAAGCACGCGACCAACCAATTATCACATGCCTTGAGTACATTAGAGAGTACCTTATGTTAAGGATTGTTAGTGTCCAAAAGGTAATTGATAAGGCTGTTGGACCATTAACTCCAACTGCAACAAGTGTGCTTGAAAAAAACAAATCTGATGCAGCTCAATGTGTGGGTAAGTTCTGTGGGAATGGAAAATATCAGGTGAGTGGTCCATGGATGGACCAATGTGTGGTAGACATGGCTCAGCACACATGTTCTTGTAGAAAATGGGAACTCACTGGTATACCCTGTAAACATGCCCTTGTTACTATATGGGACATGCGAAAAAATAAGCAGAATGTTGGCGTACCTGAAGAATGGGTTCATGCTACTTACTGGTTAAAAACTTGGAAGGAAATGTATTCTTTCAAGATTGAACCAATTAATGGAAGAAGAATGTGGGAAAAGTTTCCATGTCCAACCACTTTGCTTCCTCCTAATCATCATGTCCCCATTGGAAGACCAAGGAAGAAAAGAAGGAAATCAGCTGTTGAATTAGAAGATATGGTGAAGGGTGGTAGGGCATCAAGGAAGGACAAGAGTGTGACATGTTCAAAATGCAAAAAGCTTGGTCATAATAAAAGAAGCTGCAAAGGTCAAAGTGCATGTGATACTAGTTCAAGCAAGAAAGGGAAAGCTGGGAATAAAGCTAAAAGTGTAGGTGATGGTAGTTCAATCAAGAAAGGGAAGGATGGGAAGAAAGGTCAAAGTGCAGGTGATGGTAGTTCAAGCAAGAAAGGGAATGTTGGGAAGAAAGCTCAAAGTGTAGGTGGTGGTAGGCAAAGTGGAACTCAAAGTGCATGTGATGGAATTTCAAGCAGGATAAGGAAGGCTGGGAAGAAAGGGAAGAGTATTGCTTAAGTTATGATTGTGTTTTTATATTTGTGTCTGTGTTATGAACCAATTATGGTGTTATGATCTTTTGTGTTTGTTATATTTGTCATTATGTTTTGTGTCTGTGTTATGAACAATTATGGTATGACTTTTGGGACCTGTTGTCTATATATGGTATGACTTTTAATGTATCTCTATTTTCAATTATGGTATGAACAATTAGTGCTATAATCTGTTGCTATGTTTTTGTTTTAATTCAATTCCATTTTATCCAATTCTATTCAATTATTCAATTCATTCCATTCTAATTCAATACCATTCAATTCTATTCAATCATTCAATTCAATTCCATTCCAATAGAAAACCAGTTAATTGCATTCCATTACAAACCACTCAATTCCATTCCATTATAAAACAGTCAATTGCATTCCATTACAAACCACTCAATTCCATTCCATTACAAACCACTCAATTCCATTCCATTATAAAACAGTCAATTCAATTCCATTCCATTACAAACCACTAAATTCCATCCCATTAGAAAACTGCCTTGATGAAACAAAAGATAAGTACATTGATAGCATAAATTAAAGCTTGTAAATTAAAATTGACACAAAAAAACCCAACTGAACACTAATAACAGCCTCAAGGCCCTATTCTCATGTTGAAGCTCATCCAATGACTTCTGCAAATCAGGGGAGATACTTTTTTCAGTTTTTTCACCATTAAAGTTGTCCACATCAACCCAATCTATGAAACCACATTTTGCTCCCTGCATTTTGAGTAATTTGGTGTGTGTTAAAGGTATGTGATATATAGATATACTTAAGAAGAAATTGTCCTTACCTTTCCAGTACAACAATAGAAAAGTCTTCCAGGGATTTTCTTGGTAGTCGATCTTCGTATCACACCAACTTCACCACACTTGCAGGTTTTTTCCATTAGGGTTGATCGACACTTCAAAGAAGACGAAATGAAGGAGAAGAAGAAAGGGCGTATTCGAAAATATCGGGGTTTAGGGGTGTTCTAATAGATTTTTTATATAAAATGACGAAAATACCCCTCATGTGCGAAGCACGTGAGGGACTTAACGTTTGGAATTGACGACTAATGGACCCAGGGACCAGGCGGGTAATAAAAAGAAAACGTGGGGATGGTCCGAGTGCAAAACAAAACATAGGGACCAAACGCGCAACTTTAGCCAAACCACAGGGACTATTTCAGTAATTTGTTCTTTTCTTTTCCCATTAACCCATGTACAAGTAAAGTGGATAAAGTGTTTTATACATAAGGTCTCTTTCCTTTAATAAGACTAAATAAACCAAACTGTCATATCACATAATAAATGACCATTTTGCCCTTACATTCCCAAAAAACAACTTTTTTACAATGTTAATTTAATTTTAACATAAGAGGAGTTGGGGGAGGAAAGAAGAAATGAAAATATGCATCGAGTTTTTGTTGTAATACATTAAATATATGTTTTTTTTCTAAACCGATAAAGTAATTGTGCAAAGACTAACTGAATAAGAAGTTTCCATTTGTTGATGTTCAGATGAAGTATTGAACCCATTAAGCCTATTAAGTGAAAAAGAAATAGCAGGATGTTAGTTGCTTTATTAATCTCATTAAGTAAAAAAGAAACAATGACAATGACCAGAAACATGATAATATACCAGTAATACCACCAAAAAATTGTCAATTGGAAAGGAAACGATACATAGCATTTAGTTGTATATTGCCATCAACTACTCTACGAAATTTGTATACCAATCATTGAAACTTGAAATATTACAACTTGGAAATACAAACAACTTAAAACAAATTTTGTGCTTTTCTATTTGCAGATTGTGATCATAACTTTTAACCTTTGTGAATTTCCATTTGCAATTTATGATTTCTATGCTATTTCATCCAGATACAAATTTAGTAGTTTTGAACCCTAATGAAAAGCATCACTATTGATACCAAATTGATAATTTTGACCACGAAAGTCAGATCGAGTCTTCAATTTTTTACCCTTTTATTCATTTTTTACCCTTTTATTCGCCTAGCAGCCTATCAGTGAGTCGCTGATTCCACAATCGGCCGCCGTCGCTACCATCTACATCTCCGTCTGCCGTCGTTGCTTTCTTCTTTTCCTGTCGCAGTGCTTGGTTTGTCAAGGCTCGGCTTCTTCGTTGCTCTTGAACATCACAACTCAATTACCAGGTATATCATCTATATTTTTACTTCCAAAATCCGTCTTCAATATAGGGTGTGTTTCGGGTGAGCCACATAACCGATAAAAAGAAAAGAATGTGAAAACGTCCTCTGTATCTGTATTCGTAGGAAAGGCAAATACCCCATATTTTCTTTTATAATATTAATTCATTAATATCAAATTAAATGTCATGTTTATAGGACCGTTTATATATATGTTTTTAAATTGATTTGATTACGTTTTTTTTTACTTTATTCTACGCTTATAAAAAAATTATAGGTTATGTAGTAGGTATTTGTTTTAAAGAAAAAATAATAATAATAACCCTCTTTAGCAATATTTTTGAACTTATGTTTTAATTTACTTATTAAATTATTTAAATAACTAAATTGTTTAAATCTTTTAAATTATATCATATTATGTGGTTTAGGGTGAAACATCTCCTTTTAAACAAAGTGATTTGATTATGATCTCACGTATAAATTTAATTTTTTCAATTGAATAAATCTATTTTGATTTCATACATATACTTATTAGTGATTATATACACATGCACTTCACATGTTTTTAATATGGAATGCAACAGTAATATCTTTACTTTCTTTTGGTGTACTGTTTTGTTTATCTTGAATTCAATTTTTCAAACACCTTTATTTCTTATAAAATTATAAACAACAAATCTAATTGTCTATTAATATACTGATCTATTATGTATAATTGTTATCATATTTAGCATGTTAAATATAATTTTTTGTATTATATTTTTATGTTTTTCTTAACTATCATGAATTAACTAAAATTATTTATTTCTAAGTTCTAACCATTTAAAATATTATTTATACATAAGCATCATAAGCTTACCAATATATATATATATATATATATATATATATAAACATTTCAGTTTGATGAGAGTTTATATTCACTTGATGTTCTAAATGGACTTAAAATCTTCGATTTGCCAAACCATAAGTTGATTTTAAAGGTCAGTGTTCCTGTTATGTTACTATGAAATATCGACCAGAAGAATGGGTTATGTAATGGTACTAGACTTCAGGTGGTATCATTGGGTAATCGACAGTGGTCTTAATGGGAAGTAACATTGGACATCAAGTTTTTATTTCAAGGTTGTCTTTAACACCTTCAGACAACAAAATTCCATACAAGTTTAAAAGGAGACAATTTCCCCTAACGGTTTGTTTTGCTATGACCATAAATAAAAGTCAGTGCCAATCGTTGAACAAGGTTGGGTTGTTTTTGTGAGAACCGGTTTTCTCACACGATCAGTTATATGTTGCTTTATCCAGAGTAAAAATCATAGAAGGGTTGAAGTTATTGATTTTAAATAAGGATGGTAATTTGACTAATAAAACTTCCAATGTTGTGTTCAAGGAAGTATTTCAAAATCTATGTTAAACTCTTATGTTTGTTTTACTTATCAAATAAAGTTGTACTTACTTGCCATCCAGAATCAAATGCTTTTTTACAGTTATTAATTTTTTTGGTCTATAAATTTTTTTTAACTTACCTCCTGTGGTTTCCACGGGTTATATATATATATATATATATATATATATATATATATATATATATATATATATATATATATATATATATCGACTCCTAAAACCATTAAGCTACATTCCCCTTTGGTGACAACAACGAAAAGCTAGTTCAGTCTTTTGGTTTAAATCATAAAAAGAAAGATTTATAGGAAAATAGTCAATATATTCTGTCATTGTAGTTAAGATACTACTTATCATAAAAAATAACCTAGAAAGTTAGTTTAATCTAGCACATTTTTGTCATGTCATGTCTCGTGTCTCGTGTAACAAAACACAGTAAAACACATGGATAGTAAAATGTGCAATCAGCATGATTGTATTAGATCAGAAGCTTATAAGTCATGGAATATGATCATCTAATTTCTATTCTAGACACAAAAACCTTCATGGATGACAAGCTTGTAATTCAAGTGACTGTAAATCAATGAAGATGAAGGATGAACCACTCATGTAGAACAATAGTCGACAGAAAGTAATCCGTACAAAAATGGGTTTTAAATTCCAAAATGCACCAAAAATCCCAATATAAAAATTTATAACAAATTGATCTTTCAAAGAACATCATGATTCCCACTGTCCAAATGCCATAGAATCAATGATACAATATCAATTTGGATCAACAATTGAATGATTGGTCAATCAAATCAAATTTAGTTCTAAGAATTATACCAAGTTCCTCTCAACTTAATTCAACGATTGTTCCCAACTTGCATCAACCCTAAAAATCAAACTTATTTCAATTCTGCATCCGAATAATGTCAAGAGTATCGAATAAAAAATTATATATAACCTTTTTCTGGAACCGAGTAGTACAACCAATTAACAAAAAACGATCAATTTAAACGGAAATCAGAATGATATAAAGCAAATCCTATATACTTATTATCACAAAACAACTACTAGATGATTCACCTTACAATTTTTCAGAAACTAAACGACATCGCAGAAATTATACACGAGAGGAGGAGATCACATTACATAGAACTGGAGGATTCACGGATCAATCGGAGTGCGAATCTTCATCAGACGAGACCGAGGAGGAAGATGAGGAAGAGGTGTAGAAATTGGTATGCGGAGGGAAACAGAAAGTCCAAACACAAAAGGGCGAAACGGCGAAACTGTTGAAAGGGGAAGCAGAAGAGGAGATGGAGAACTTGTTGGCTGTGTAATCTTTCGGGGTTACAAGCTATGTACTGGCATAAATCGGCGGAGATGTTGGCCACAGCCACCACCAGCGGACTGTTCATCACCATCGTGTTCGTCGATCGGAAGCGGTTGGAGGTTGTGGGGAAAGTTGGGTATTGGAGATGTGAGATTACGGCTAAAATGATGATAACAATTGGGAAAGCATGGAGTGACGTCAGGAAACCGCTACTAATTATTAATTTTCTATTGTTTTTTTAACTGTAATTTTGTAATTTAGAGTAAATTACACATTTGGTCTAATTTCTTTTTGTTAAATATATATTAAAAAGAAAATTGTAAATTTAATCAAATTCTTTAACTATTTTGTGGAAAATAGCCAAAAAAAACTCAAATTAGAAATATAGTCGTGAAAATCGAAGATGGATTAAGCCCATCTGCGATTTTAACATTCCATCTGCGAACGTACAAGTCGCTCAAACACAGTCGTGCTTTAGCGACTTGTACGTTCGCAGGTGGTTTTTTTTTAGTTTTTTTTTATTTTTTCCGTATAAATACCCCAATCTTTGACTGAAATCGCACATGAACTAAGTTCATCTGCGATTTCCTCTCATCCCACCTGCGATTTTGTGTTTTTTTTTTCAATTTTTTTTTTAGTTTTGACTATAAAATTGATAGGGTTTAACTACGAAACAATTTTATTATATATAAAGTTTTACAAAAAATTATAAATTTAGTTCTTATTTCTTTGGAACATTTGTTTAAAACATCTCTAATAAAATGAATTTTTCAACAAAAACTTTGAAAAATATTTGAAAAATAAAATCGTCCATAGTGGCTCTAGAGAGAGTTCTCCAAAAAAAAATTTGAAAAATGAAAGAAGAAAAAAAAAATTACGTTTTTATACCCCTGAAAAAGGAGAAATCACAGATGGACTGCGAACGTACAAGTCGCTAAAGCACAGATGTGCTTTAACGACTTGTACGTTCACAAATGGACAAGTAAAATCACAGATAGACTGAGTCCATCTGCGATTTTGATGGCTATTTTTGTAATTTGGATTTTTTTTGGCTATTTTCCACAAAGTAGTTATAGGATTAGGCTATTTTTGTAATTTTCTCTATATTAAATGATTAAAATGTTTTTGTATTTGTTTTTTGTTTTTACTTATCTTTTATTTACTTATTATTATTTTCTTCTTATAATTTATTATTTGCCCCCCGCATACCTCACACCAAACACCCATGCAATCTCAAACCCACCATTGAATACATCGATTAGGGCACCATAGCCTCCACCACTACTAGCATCAGAGTGGATCGATTAGGGCACCATAGCCTCCACCACTACTAGCATCAGAGTGGTTGTAGTTGATGTGATCGACAAAGAGAGGGATAGAAACAATCAACGTTTTTCGATCGACAAAAAAAGAGAGGGAGAGACTCATTGTCAGGCAAGAGAGACAGAGAGAATGATTGTTGGAGATGGTGATCGATAAATAGATAGGGAGAAATCGTCATTGTAGGTGATTAAGAATGCTTTGCCAAAGTTGTGACTATGGATGTCAATAATGGGGACGAGGATTTGAGCTAAAGTCGGTAACAAGATTTGGAGCGGGAGTGGATACAATGAAGATGGGCGGATGAGGCACCAACGAAGGGGTTTGTAGTTTCCAATGGGGTAAAGATTTGTGGTCGGTGTCGAGATAAAGTGGGAGTGAGAGTGTAGTGGGGTGAAGCTGAAAATAGTGAACGATTACGTTTAACTCCATTTTCGTCTTTTTTTAATAGAAATACCCCTATAATTTATAAAATAACAATATAAAAAATGAAAAAAATTAGGGGTAATTTCATAAATTTATAGGCATTTAACATATGGATATGGAGATCAACATAACGGACACAAGGACCAAAACTGCAAGAATTGTCAACCATGAAGACCAATTTTAAAATGGATGTAAAGATTGTCATAATTACTTACTAAGAATGGTTTAACCTCGAGTAATCTTTATAGACATTTCATAACTTAACTATAGTTGATATGTGCTCAAATTAAATATCTTAGATTAATTTTGTAAAAGATAATGAAAATGTATCGAAGGCCATGACTTGTATGGTATATCATTTAATATATCTTTTACGTAACACAATAATAACAACATAAAACATTTTGGAAAATGTGACTTCCCTAATGAGGGTTTTCGGGCCAGCTTTCGCACCGACTAATCTTTCGCTGCAAAACATGAGGTTATGACTCATGCCCTGGAGTCACTGCAGATGAACCTTCATGGCCACAAGGGTTGAGTAGTGTCAGGATTTGAACATGAATCAATAGTTTATCCACCATGTCTTTCATATGTCTTACAAAGTCACCGCAATCCAAATGGTTAACTTGTGTGTGT